GGTGAACATAATCTCTCCTCATGGTTCACTATCTTAACTCATGTTGCCTGAGTTTATTTATTTCTAGGTTGGCTACGATAAGCAAGGGCTTCCCATAGGATTGCAGATTATAGGCCGTCCATGGGGTGAAGCTACAATATTGCGTTTGGCTGCTGCAGTTGAGGTATATCTATACTTGTTTACACACATTCCTCTGCTACTTCCCACACTTGTTTCCTATTAATTTTTGTTTCGCAAGCCGGGGGTCTTCATAGGAATACTCTCTACCCCTTGTGGTAGAGGCAAGGTCTACATTCATCCCCTAACCCTACCTCTGCGCGGGATATATATACTGCCTCTCTTCTCTCCTCAAGGGCTCTTTTGGGGGAGTTAATCTGGGGGTTCCACATATTTTTACATGGTATCAGAGCCAAGGTCTACCACTCTAGGGACTCGACATAGCCACCTCTCGACACTCTAGGATAATCTGTTTTAAATTTGGGCTTCGGGTTTAAGATATCGATGAAGAACTTGCATAATATATTGGATCGTGAACACAATCACTGTCCATAAGTAATATTTTGACCCTATTGCAGCTTCAAGGAATCACATAATTTACTTTGGGATAATCCAAATATGCACTCAAGATTTGTGGGCTAAATCGAGAGTAAAAACACAGATGCTTTTGTGTTTTGAATGTATTAAAATGAGATCGAATACCCCTTGAATAGATTTGTCGGCTAAATTGAGAGTAAAAACGCAGCCCCTTTGACCTCCGCTTCATGGCAATCTTAGCTCCAAGGAAACTTATACGAGCGTGCACTCCGCACCTCCTCACTCATATTATAGCTTAACCAATGAAACCCCATCAATCTCAAGTAAATCCGCAACTACACTAAAATGCTTGATGACATTAAGTCACCAATAATCTGTGCCCATATAGCCTACATTGGAAGGGGGGTCTTAGAGTCTTACATCGGCTAGACTTGAATCATTTCTCCTTTTTTTGGAGAGTTAATGTGGGGTTCCACATATTCTCAAGGTATATCTATCTGTAACTCCTAAAAAGCAAGAACCAATTTCGATAGCACGACCCATCAAACACCTGAATATTTGTCAAGCACACTAGCATTTGCAATACTAACATGAAAACACCGATAAATTTCAGGGACTATGTATCGGTGCGAAGCAACCGGCATCGTATTTTAACATTTTGAAGGGACAATGAGATGCAGGGTCACTTGTTATTCATGTCCATAGATGTATTTTCTGGAGAACCTTGTGCAGAAATGTGTTATGACCTTTGTTTTGTGGGCAAAGGATGTTTATTGGGTACAAAAAATGTTTTAAGGCATGACTAATCTCTATTCCTTTAGGTTTATTAACGGGGATTTGCATTCTCGAACCTGTTATATCGTAAACGTAATACTATAAATTAATCAAATTTGTTCTCGACGGGTTTTCAACATGATGATCGAGAATTATTCGAAAAAAACAATTAGCAATAGTATTAAGCCAATTGAAAAGTAGATGACAAAGTACTGAATAATTTAAAGTTAAAGAAATGGATGGGATGGAAATGGTCGGCTTCCTCTCACGACTCGCCTATTTCCCTAATGACCGTTCTAAGGGGTGTTTGGGATTGCTTATTTAAAATAACTTATGTTTTTTTGTAAAAGTACTTATTAACTTATGTGGTATCAAACCGGAGTTTTGTAAAAAGTGTTTGGATTAGCTTATAGCGGTACCAAACTGCAATAAGCTGATAAGTTGTTTTTTTAACTCTTAGTGATTCAGCGACCACGATAGCCTCTATCCCCCAAAATTTTCTTACACGGTACCCCAAATTGCATATAACGGGTTATACCTTTATTTTACATATTCCTTTTTAAACAGTGACATTATTGTGTTAAAACATTAATCAGTTAATTGAACTAAAAAACAAAAATAATTAATAAATTGGTTAAATATATGAAATAACAATTTACTTTAATAATTTTTTTTATTATAGCATTGTACTTTTAAATAATTTTTTATTACGGTATCGTACTTTGAAAAATCTACCTATTACATTAATGGTTAACCTATTACCTTTTAAACCAGTAAACCCATTACCTTTCTTTTGCTTCCTTAGCTTAAATGATGTGACATAGATGACACATTATTTTGAGGACATGACTAAAATAAAAAAAGAGTGAATTGTGGATTTGGGTCCTGTGATTTGATGTTTTCTTTGATTAGGGTCTTTATGGTATGTTTATTGTGGATTTGTTTCTTGTGGTATTCAATTTGTTTTGGTCATGATCTATCTGACTAACGTTTCCGTTGACTTCGTTAAATTAAGGATCATTTTAGTCTTTTATCTATTTTTTATAAAAAGGTAAAAATCTAATTAATGTAATATATTTATATGTCAAGTAATTTTATTTTAACAAATATGATACATTCTTTAAAAGATAAATATTTTTTTGGTTAAAAAACGTAACAATTCTTTTTTTTCTTTTTTCAAAAAATACATATTTTTTAAATATGTTAGCGAGATAAATTGTGTTTTACTTAGTTTTTTAATACTAGTATATTAATGAATAATTTAGAAATTTTCTAATTCATTTAATATATTTATTAAATGATATGTAAAATCAATTTTTTTTCTTTCAAATTATAATGTTGTAGTAAGAAATATCACACCAATAAAATTATAAACGTGGACATCTCATATGGACAATGATATGACATGGAAATCTGGTAACTTGTATCATATCCTCTTAATTCAAATAAAAAAAACTAATGATTGCTTTAATCTCGATTTTGAGGGACTAATTTTTTTAATTAAAATTTAGGATTAGAAACGAATACTAAATTTAAGTAAATATGTTTGATTAAACATACAATATATAAATATTAAAATATTAAAACTTAAAGTATAATGTTGTAATAGAAACTGATGATGCTATAATAAAATAATTTTGAAAGTACAATGTTGTAATAAGAAATAACATGTCAACGGTATAGTATATGTGGACAATCTATGTGAATAGTAAAATGGTATGGAAACCTGGTATAACGAGTAAATTCAAATGAAAATGTTACTTATAAAAAACAATTTGAAAGTATATTGTTGTAATAAGAAAAACTGAAAATATTATACTATAATAAGGTAATTTATGAAACTAGGTTGCTATTTACAACAATGGGGGGAGGAGAAGAACACTGTTTCGAACCTATGGTCGTCTCGTGGCCGATGTTAGCATTGCAAACATGAACTCGAGATCGACGTTTCTGTAATAAATTTGAAACCAAATTACGGAATGACCAAAATGTTCATGATTTAACAATCTTAGGGGATGTTTGGCAGTTACTGATTGGTTTTGTGCAAAATCATTAAGTGGTCAGAATGATTAAGAGACTCTCATTATATAGTGCAAAATGAAATATAATTGTTTGGTACTTGTTTACGATGAAATTAGGGCTCTTAATGGTTAAGGGAGGCCCAAGATACAATATCATTCAGAGGGTTTTAGAACCATTAAGGGGCAGACTTTTTTTTTTGCCAAACAATATTTACCTCTTAACAATTCAGAGATTGCCTCTTAATGAAACTATTAAGATGTAAACAAACAACCCCTTAAAGGTGGATGAAATAAGAGGTAGGAGCCCAATCCGTAATAAATTTGAAAGTGATCAAACTTGTAATTTATTTTGGGGTATTCTAACGCCACCCCCTGCTACTTCTTTCACCCTACTTTTTCTATACCCCCACCTATATGAAATAATAAAATAATTAAAATTTATTTATTTTATTTTTCAATTTTAACCCTTTAATATTTTTAGTTTTAACCCTTCAACTTTTTAAATACTTTCCTATTATATCCTCCAGGTTTTTTATCTATATTATAACTACATATATTAATTAACTAATATTATTATTAATTAATTAAGTATTAAGGATACATATTTTTTTAATAATT